ACCTCTTCCATAACCAGTAGAGGTCCTTTTTGATTGATTGGGATTATCTCTCATTTCTCAGTGTATAACTTTTTCTGTCACATTTAAACACACACATGATTATTCTCATAATCAWAACATAATAACACATTCATCCTCAAATCTATTCATAACTCAGATTATATCAACCATATATAATCTATCTTTCTCATAATATGTTCAGCTATAACATATTCCCATGTTCATAGACCCAGTGAAACCTATTATTATAACTTCCGCACTTCTAGTTTAAGTCTAAGTATTTCGCAAATACCTAGATCCCTTAAACTAAGGCTCTGATACCAACTGTAACAACCCACAATTTCCACTAACAGATAATCCACATGATTATACATATAACACACAAAATGTGATATTGTTACAAAACATAGGCTAACAAAAACTTTCTAACATACATTTATGAGTAACTAAATTTCATCGTTTAAACTTTTCCATTTCCTTTGTCTTGCGTTGTATGATGACCTGCAAAACAGGTTAGTCCAACAACTGAGCATTAGACCAAAAGGTCTAGTGAGTGTACAAATCTCATACCAATAACTTACATTCCAAACTATTAGTTTAGAATCAAACCTGTACATATATAATTATTTATTACATCTCTCTCGCGGTTACACCGCTATTTCATCTCTCTCGCGGTTACACCGCCATTACATCTCTCTGATAATAAAACTTAACCAAAATTCAACCAGATAGGGAATTCGGTCATCATTGTCCGGATATGGAATCCGGACAAAAACTTAGAACCAAAAATATGATAATTCGGACAGTCGACCAGACTTGGAATCCGGACAACAAATCTTGAGCGATTTAGACATATCCGGACATCCCTTGGCTGGTTTAAATGAAATCCAGTCGATACTCAAGCGGTTTAAGAAAAATTTGCATGCCTCTTGTCCGGTTTAAGGTTGAATCCAGACAACTCTTGGCCGGTTTAGATGAAATCCGGTTATCCTTTGTCCGATTTAAGGTGTAATCCGTGCAACATTTAATATGATTCAAAATAAGGCAGTTCTAATAGCAATGAATTGAATACCAACAATTTATACTCAAAACAGAATGCGCTCACCTTGATTCGAATTGCCTTCTACTATCAGCAACTTCTTACACTCTTTTCACCCAGACTTTCTTCTAAAATGAGCCAAAAAGAACCTTTTCTTTTTCAAAGGCACTTGCTATTTATTGCAAGTGCCATAACCGCCTTTTTTACAAAAAGTCGGCTATGACATCCTCATACACACTAATCCTCACACACACACACACACACACACACACACACACACACACACATATATATATATATATATTCCAAAATCTCAAATCAAAACTTGTAACCCGAATATTACAACACTTTAACAAGTGACCAACTTGTCGAGAATTAATTTGTTTGAAAGATATAAATGACAAGTCTCCTTGTTGGCAACTTTCTCAAGTCTACCTCTCATATCATTCAAGTTGACATGCATTCAATGACTTATCTTTAAGACCAAGACACTTTAACACTTTCAAAGTGATCAACTTGTCTAGAAGTGTCATTAGTTCTTATAAAACTTGAATGAAATAGAGGAACGTTGTTATTGCAAAACAAAGTCTACTTTCCTTCGGTTTAAAATCTCACCCTTTGTCTCACACCCAAGCTATGGAATTAGCTACTCATTGCGGAAAGTAAATGACAAGAAAAGTAAATAATGGAAAGTAAAGACAAAATAAATTACGGAACGTAAATGACTTAATGTAAAGAGCGTAAAGTAAATGACGGAAAGTAAAGAACAAATTTGAAAGTAATTACGAGACTTAATATTAAAATTGCTTCAAATTCTAGAGAAAGATCATTTTTAGAACTGATTTTGATGATGGAAATACACAGACCCAACCTCCCCATTTATACAAAAATAGGGCACAAACAGACAAAAAGATAATCTTGTGGACAAAGTCATCAAAAGTTAATACAAACTACAACTAAAGTAACTAAATTGTGACATAATCCTAACAAGAGTTTAGCAGCCTTGAATCTCTTAAAAAAGTCTTCAGTTCATGGACTTCTAGAAATAAAAAGTATTCAGTAGCCTAGCCTAGCTCAATAAGCCCTTTAAAAAGCCGAAAACCATCAGATCCCTGCTACATGAATGCTATAGCAACAAACAATCCTGCATTTTTTTTCATATTAGACTTCTAATGGTGTAAAAGACAAGTAAATCACATTTTTATCTCCATAATTGATAAAGGGGAAAAATTGAATAAAAAATGACCCAAGATTGGGATAAAAGAAAAATAAACTAGCTAAAAACTATAAAATGAGTACACTTTATATTCAATTCTCAATATACATCATCTAACCCTCATTTTGTTTTAAAAAATATGCATTACAGGCCAGGCACCTCCGGTAAGTAAAGAGAAGGGAAGATGTAAATTGAAGTATAATAACTTTACATCTGTGTATATGATGAAAGTGAATTTTGTGAAAGTTGAATTTATACATGAACTTGTGAAGTTGTATTATTCAAGTCAGGTACTTTGTGAGAAAAAAATTGTAGTTACTTTTGCTAGTAATAAGGTGTATATTTAGGACCAGTGTGTATTAATTATATTTCATGTTATATGAAATATATGTGTTTCATGCAAATATGGGATAGGGTGTTACACCCAATGACATTACTCTTATCATATGAGAGAGACAAATCATATATTGATAAATGATAGCCCTGCTCATGTGATATATGACATATCCAACAGCTCTTCCATGCATGAACAGTATGGTTGAATCATCTATCAAAATGTGTCACACACACACAACCGTCTTCATGATCTCAAGTCTAAAGACTCCATAAACTATGATCACATGTGAATACATTCATGATACTCATATGACATCCAATGCAATGTTTCTCACTGTTAGTCACACACCAGTACTTTAAGATCTACATCTTTAGTGTTCTTTTGTGGACTATGTAATCCCATACGAATCCCCACATAAGCTAGTCTTTTTAGTTGTTGTGTTGACCATCAAAACAAGGTCTAGGGACATTTTAGAATATCTAATGCTCTAAGGTCCGTTATTGTTAAATACAAAGTATAAATAAAACAATAATGGGCAATGTCTTTTATAAATAACTTTACGAAAAAATGTCCAAAAATAAATACATTGAATGATTAACTTTTGGACATAAACACTAACAAGAATTACCACCAAAAATTCTTTAGCTCAACAACCTTCACGTGTCTGAGAGTGCTTGTTGTACAAGGAGTAATACTTAGTGTTCTTAATTGCTATTGAACATCAAGATCTAGGGGACAAAGAGAAGTAGGTGACAACTAGGAAAAAACAAGGGAGCAAAAATTCTCATTAATCCCTAATCAAGGTTTAATGTTTTATTTCAACCATGATTCTTCCTTGAGAACTTTAAAGCCCATCCAACAAATTTTAAAAGCTCGTGGGTCGAGTCCTCTATTTGATTAATGTCATAATTAAACATTTACTTACTCTTTGCGTGCGACCTCTTAGGTTATTGCCACATTGCTAACGACCATAAATATGATTCATGGTCATAAACAATGAGTGGTATCTAGCAATACATCATCATTTTACAAGTGAAAAAAATTGATCCATTCTACCAATCATCAATTTTATGATCATTATTAGTGCATACGTCATGTCCTTTTGTCTCAAATATCCATATTGAACACAAGGCATGATAATACCATACTCATTAAGTCGAGTCTTTACTTATGTGATTCGAGAATATACTGAAAAATATTCACATAGCAATATAATATGTATTAAATCTTTGTACATGCATGTATTTCATCAATATCGTTCATCGGGCCCAAGGACATCACTCCTTACATACATGAGGGACAAATCCTTAACGACTCATACTAGTCCTTTCCATGCGATATATGATATCCCTATTGTAAGCTCTCTCAATTACATAATAGTTAAAATCATGCATCACTCGACATCATTTACACATAATACTTTTCATAATCTCAAGTCCAATGATCAAAAGTGCAATGGCCACGTGAGAAACATCCATGAGAAACTTGTGAGACATCAGATGTTATGTTTCCCACTATAGGTCAAGACAATAGATCTCTATCTTTTATACTCGTATGTGGATCATGTATCTCTATACATAACACACTGCATACTATAGTCATTAAGGTGCTAAAAAAGAGGTCCAAATTAACACTTGACCTAGGAACATTTTAGAATATTACATTATTTGGTTATTATCCTATTTATAAGAAAAACACACATAAATGATAAACAAATAATCGACAATTCCTTTTATGAAATATAAACCATAACTCAAAATACAATCCCCCGAAGTAGGTTGTTGGGCACACACTAACAATCTTCGACTTGCACTAACGCCAATACTCGAGATACATTGGATGATGACATCCATCAAATAGTTCCGTGTAAGGGTAGTTTCCTTCTCTATATCATTCCAAGCTTGACCTTCTCCATTGGATAACCAATGGTATGAAGCATGATAAACACTTTTTCGACGGATGGAAGTGGGTCATACAGTAAAGTAGACATATAATGTGAATCATGTCAAGATTTCACGACTTTAACACACCAGTGTGCCTAAGCAAAAGCCTAAAACACAACCACAAACCTATGAATATGACTACTCAAGGCTAATTATGAAGATAATAGCAAATTCCACATTTAGCCATAGGAACAAAATAGAATGTTAAAGCACAATGAAAAATGGAGGCAAGGTAAAAAACTAAATTTTTGAAAAGGGGGTAATTTTGAACCTTTGATGAACATTGAGGGCTAAAAGTGGACATGCTTTTAGAGGAAGCAAAATGAAATTCCCACCCCCAAAAATTCAAATTCCTAAAATCTCAAACCGAAATGTTCTTAGGTAAATAGATAATTGACCCATGTAAACAAATTCCTAACTTGCATGCAAGGTGAAACGATGATGTCTGAAGCTTTCAACGGAGACCAAGTAACCCAAATCTCTGAATCTTCCGTGTCCGAGGTTTTCGATAGAAGTGACAAACCTTCGGCCATGGAAAATAGTTCAGCTTTAGAAATTGAGGAAAACCCGACGCCTAAATCATGTGCTAGTTGTGATTTTGTTTGGGATAAACCCTTGAATCAACAGGATGATTACGCAATGGAAGGAGATAGAGGAACCAGGGGAACAGAAATTGTTGCTGACCAGTTCTCGCCTGATGTTGATTTTGATTGGGGAAAAAATCTGAGTGGGATGTCTTCAATGGACGAAGATGACGAATCATCCTTCGATCATATGGTTTGTGATTCGAGTTGCAGGCTAATTCCAAATGGGTTTATGAGATCGGACTGTACAGGTTGGTATTTTGGCTAATTTTTAGTTCACGGATGGGTATACGTTTGAATTTTGCGCTCTACATGTGCTTGCTTTAGGTCAAAAATTTCAGAAAACAAGTTTTTATGGCTGTTTCGAGGTGAAGCTCCTTTTATATATAGGCTTTACGTGTATTCAGAAGTTATCTTTGGTACTCTCTCGGTGTTGATTAACCTTCTGCAGTTTTATACCTACAGTATTTGTTGCAAAGTTCTAAAAAATTAGTCAAAGTTCCACTAAATTTAGCATCAGTTATGCTGAATTTTATTCATTTCAACTTAACCCTTAACGGGAACAAGCTCATTGGGAAAGTTCTGTTCCATAAGCTCCTCATTTTGATGTTTACTTGTTCTAAAAGGATTTTCTCCATGAAGATGTATGTAGGTAAAACAATGCAAAAACTTGCTTATATTGCTATTGTTTGAATTAAAAGGGGTTATCCTGTTAATGGGGTTCATATATGAGGCTATTAGAGATGTAATCTTGATATAGAATACTGGAATTAGTAACCACAAGCTGGAAAGCAAATTATGGCATAGTATCTTTCATGTTAGGCCACTGAAAGAACCAACAATGCTGCTAAGAAAATTACTTTGTTTGGATCTTCTTTTATCTTTTGCTCATTTGATATCTTAGTTTTTGGTTTTGTGCTTATCTGTTCATGGGTTTTGATGAGGATGTTCAAAAATTCTAATCTGTGTAGTGGATTTATTTTATTCAGCGAAAAGTTACATAATTGTTTCTTTTGTTTCTTTTCTACCAGAAGTTGTGATGTTCATAAACGCTGGAGCAGAAACCATGGTCGAATCAGATCCAAATATGAAGTTTGAGGCTGATAAGTTCTTTGAAGGAGGAGATATATTTCAAACAGACGAGTGTATGACTGAGGGTGGCGATTTCTCTTTCATTTATCACACAGCAAGACTAGGGAACTTCCATTATCAATTCACTAATCTGCCGGAGGGCTGTTATTGTATTGACCTTCATTTTGTTGAGATGATAAATACATTTGGTCCGAAAGGGATGAGAGTGTTTAATGTATTCTTGCAGGAAGAGAAGGCAAGTTCATTGCTGTTTCTTTTCTTTTCCTTTCTTTTCTATCTTTATGTGATAATATGTGGAACCACTAGATTTACTCTCCAAAAGAGCTCTTGAGGAAGGGAGGTTCCAATATATATAGAAGAGAAATGGTCCAAGTCTAGTTGATGTGGTACTGTCAAGAGAGGCTAGACGGTGAGGGGGCTAGCCGAGTATAGATCGCCCCAAAGCGTTGAGTCCCTAGAGTGGTAGACCTTGACTTTGGTACCATGTGAGAATATGTGGAACTGCCATTTTTACTCTCCTCAAGAGTCCTTGAGGAGAAAAGGGAGGTTCCAACATATATAGAAGATAAATGGTCCAAGTCTGGTCGATGTAATACTCTAACACTTCATATTGAAATTTCACTAAGTTAATAGAAAATAATGCTTATAACTTCCATGGTTTAACAGGTTCTCTCAGATTTTGACATCTTCTCTGTGGTTGGTGCTAATAAACCGTTGCAATTGGTTGACTTAAGAGTCTCTGTTAAGAACACAGAGGCTATCATAATTCGATTCGAAGGGATGATTGGTAGCCCGCTGGTTAGTGGTATCTGCATAAGAAGAGCATCTAAACTGTCTGGTAGCTAAAGTTTCTCTTTTCAATAATAATTATAACTGTAACCAGCAAATCTTGACATGGGTCTTTTTCTTATGTTGATTTACTTCCAGAATCTGATGTGAAACATGAATTTCTAAGATGCCAAAACTGTGCCACTGAGATAGAGGTCCCTTCTGTTCAGGTACAATGCATCCTAAGTTGAATAGTTATGGTTCTTATAAATGTTTGAATCGTTATTCTACCTGTTATATTTCCTGATTACCTGTTGCACACACCTTTGAGTCGTGCACAAGCCGGGGGTCTTCATTGAAATAGCCTCATGATCCTAGTGGTTGAGGTAAGGTCTGCGTACATCCTACCCCTTCCAGACACTACTTTTGAGTGGGATATACTGGGTTGGCTTGTTTTAGTTTATTAATGCTTTATTGTTGCTGAATAATGCATGATATTTCGTTACTTACTGTATATCACAGAGAAAAAGAATGCGAAAGGAATCAGCAGAAAAGTATGAGAAGACGATAGAGGAGTTGACTAGCCAGTGCCGAAGCAAGACTGAAGAATGTTATCAGGCTTGGATGGCTTTGACTGCTGCAAACGAGCAGTTGGAGAAAGTTCGGATGGAAGTCGACAATAAGTTCTTTGAGTCGTGCTCTTTTGGTAAGATCTGATCGAAAACTCGTTTTTCAAATCCTAACACTGCCTTTTCTTGTTTTCAAGTTCTTCTTTTTTCAAATTTATTCTTATGTTCTTTTTCTGCAAATCTTTTGAAGTATCTTTATCCTTTTTTTGTACACCGTGCACAAGATGGAGGTTTTCATGAAACCCGCCGCTCTACTCTTTATGGTGGAGGTTAAGTCTGTGTACATCTTACCTTCGGGTGGGATATACAGGGCTTGTTTGGTTTAAACATCTTTTAGACACCATCTCTGAACCTTCCTTCAGTTGTTTTGATTTTCTTATTTACCTTGTTTCCAATCAGACCAAATCATGGAAAAGCAATCTGAACAGCTGAGGGATATATCTAGTAGGTATGAGCACGATAAGAAGATTTGGGCAGCGGCAGTCCAGGAGTTATCAAATAGAATAACTGTAATTTAACTACCTTTATAGAACTTATCATTAAAACTAGTTTTTTTTATCTCAGTAAAGTTTGTATAATAAAATCTTTACAATGATTTACTATTTAGGAGTTGAAGCAAGACCATTCCAAGCTGTCTCGCGAAGCACACGAATGTGTTGACTCAGTTCCTGATCTAAATCATATGGTTTCTGCAGTTCAGGAATTGGGTAGGTTTTGATTATGCGGCTTATGCTCATCCACTCCTTTCTTGCTTTTAGTTAATATGTTATCATATTGTAGTTGCACAGTGTGAGGATCTTAAAGTCAAGTACAATGAAGAACAGGCAAAACGAAGGAAGCTTCATAATCAAGTTGAGGATGCAAAAGGTATGCTAACTTTATCCTTTAGTATCCTATTGAAGAAACCAAATGAATCTGATATTTTTCACCCGAAAGCAGTGTATGAGGGAGGTGGGATGTATCGTGTACGTAGACGTGTCCTCTGCCCAAATGAGCAGAGCAGTTGTTTCCATAAAGACTAACATATTGAAGAAATTTCTCAACTTATAATACTATAGTAGACAAATAGGAAAAAGTCTGAAAAAACCCTACAGTCTTCCATATTTTCATCAATTAAGGGCATGGACATTTCTTTTGAACAAATAAATCCCCGCATTTACTGAAATGGAACAAAATGGTCCTTCTAATCCTAAAAAGTTACTGGTAATTTGCTATGGTGATGAAAATGGTTTTTAAAAAAAGTGAAAAGTCTGAAAAAACCCCCCAACGAATTTCATATTTTGAGTTATTAAGTTCTTGGAGTATTTTTTTGTACAAAATAAATCCCTACACTTACTAAAATCGAACAAAATGGTCCTTCTAACCATAAAAAAAAATGACCGGTAATCGGCTATGGTGGTAAAAATGGCTTTTAAAGTAAAAAGAAGACCTAAATATTTATGGTGGACCGCAAAGCATTATGTATGGGAACTCATCAAAAGACCTTTCATAAAAATTAGAATTCTTCTATAGAAGTTCGTTGGGTTTTTTCAGACTTCTCCCTACAAAATACCATACGACTAATTGCATAATGATATTTAAAATTCTTCTGTCATCAGGAAATATAAGAGTTTTTTGCCGGTGCCGTCCACTAAACAAGACAGAAGCTGCGTCAGGGTGTTCAACGGTTGTAGACTTTGGTGCCGCTTTGGATGGAGTACTTGGAGTTTTAAGCAATGGTTCCACCAAAAAGACCTTCAAATTTGATAGTGTTTTCACACCAAAAGATAACCAAGGTTCTTTTACTAAACTAAGTAATTATGTCAAAACATGGATCCTTCATTTACATCATTACAAAACCTTGCTTTCTTAACCTTAAACAGATGATGTTTTTGCGCAAGCTTCACCACTTGTTACATCCGTTTTAGACGGGTACAATGTATGCATATTCGCATATGGACAAACAGGAACAGGAAAGACGTTCACAATGGAGGGTACTGTGGGAAATCGAGGAGTCAATTACAGAACACTTGCAGAGTTGTTCAAAGTTTCTAAGGGAAGGAGTGACACTTTTACCTACAACATATCAGTTAGTGTGCTTGAAGTCTATAATGAACAAATAAGGGATCTTCTCGCAGCACCATCTGCAACTTCAAAGAAGTAATGGCTATCTTTTTTCTTTCTTTTGTGTGTGCACATGCAAACATAAACTAGCCTAATTAGCTTCTTCGGTCAAGTGCGTCCTGTAATGATATGCAGAACCTCTTTGAATCTCTCTCTGAATAACTGTAGAAGAGGCCTTTGGTTGAATGACCATTTGTCAGGTTTTTATGAAATCCGTGACCATCTAACAGGTTTGAGAATGTCATGGCTTTAACAAAATAATATCACTTCCATAGACAAGATTGCCTAGAAACCTGTTAGAAGGTCGTGGATTTAGAAAACACTTATTAGGAGGTCATTTCGCTAAATAACCCCTTATAGATAGAGGGAAGATCCCTTCATATAACCTTGTTAGCTGAACTTGCAATAAAGCTTGGGCCTTTGGGGTTTCTTCTCATAGGCCACCAGTTTGAGTCCTGTAGGCCACTGGGGATTTTCTTGCCCCTGGGATTAGTTGAGGTGTGTGGAAGCTGGCCCGGAAACTCACGGTTAACAAAAAAAAGGATTCCTACATATATACAGGTCTTACGGTCCGTGCCTGGCTGATCTGGAACTCCAACACATGGAGTTCTTATTTCGTTACTTTTTTGGAAACTCAGGTTGGAAATAAAGCAAGCTTCTGAAGGGTTTCATCACATTCCTGGGCTGATAGAAGCCAAAGTGGAAAACATAAAGGAAGTCTGGGATGTTCTGCAAGCTGGGAGCAGTGCTAGAGTTGTTGGATCTAACAATGTGAACGAACATAGCAGCCGTTCTCACTGGTAAAGAAGAATCTAGTGTAATTTGTCTATATGCTTCTCTTCTAATGGTTTATTAATTTAGACTTTAGTTTGTGCTTTTAGCATGCTTTGTATTATGGTAAGAGCAAATAACTTGTTGAACGGTGAGTGTACCAAGAGCAAGCTATGGCTCGTGGATTTGGCTGGTAGCGAAAGGCTTGCAAAGACGGATGCTCAAGGTGATAGGCTCAAGGAGGCTCGAAACATCAATCGATCCCTTTCTGCTCTTGGAGACGTTATATCTGCCTTAGCAAATAAGAGCAATCATATCCCGTATAGGTTGGTTTCTTTTACTACAACAAAATCGGGTTGATAGGATGCCAAAAACGTGTTAAGATCTTAAAGGACTGTTTTATAAGATTTAAGTTTATAGGACCAAATAATTGTGTGTCCTATGTAAAAGTGTTACGATAAGTTTACGATGCTTTGGGACATCTTGACGAGTCTTTTAGGATACTTTTGAAATAAAGAGCTCTATTAACTTTTTTATAAGAAGCGTTCTATGCATACATGTTTTTATAGGACACTTGCTTTTATAAGACACTTTTTCAGATAGTAAAGAATTAATATGACACTTGTTTTAAAAGTGTCCTAAAAATCTTGTTAAGACGACCAAAAACGTCATGTAAACTATTGTACAAGTCTTATATAGGATGCTGAAGTGTTTGATCCAATAAACTTAAGTCCTATAAAGCAGTCTATTAGGATAATTAGAGATTTTTGGCGTCCTATAAATCCGGTTTTGTTGTTATGTTTGAGGATTTTCTCATACAAAGATATGCATATCACAAATATTAACCGTTCCATCTCCCTTATATCCAGGAACTCTAAGTTGACACACTTACTTCAGGATTCTTTAGGTAAAAGTCAGATTTTCGTACGCTTTATTGATATATCTGAATTTATGCACCTTCAAACGTTATTGGATTCTGTGAGTCTTGCAGGGGGGGACTCAAAAACGTTAATGTTTGTGCAAATTAGTCCCTCAGAGAAGGATTTGAGTGAAACCTTGAGTTCCTTGAACTTTGCCACAAGGGTCAGAGGGGTTGAGTTAGGTCCTGCACAAAAGCAAATCGATACAAACGAGCTTCAAAAACTGAAAACGATGGTAAGTGAATTACCAAATGGTATCATGTCTGTATGTTCTTTGGATTTTTAGTATCAAATAGTTGCTATTTGATTTGTTTTGGTTGATCAATCATTTTGAAGCTTGATAAAGCAAAGCATGAGTTGCATTTGAAAGATGAATTGTTGAGGAAGTTAGAAGAGAGCTTGCAGAATGTTGAAAGCAAAGTTAGAGGAAAAGATCAGATGTATAAAAACCAGTTGGAAAAGATAAAGGAGCTTGAGGGAATAATGGAACTGAAAACAGGATTACACTCTCAGTCGGAAAAACAAGTTTCACATCTTTCTGAGAAATTGAAGGGGAAAGAAGATTCGAATAGCACCCTCCAATATAAGGTAACAAATTCTCTAAAATGGAGATTTTAGGGATTTCAGATTACTTTTTTGCTCCTATGGATTCTCTAAAGCTTTCTTTATAATTGAGAAAGTAGGAGAGAAATGATAAAAATCTCCAAATTTGGAGAACTCCATAAATTTAATTGTTTAAGAGAGAATTGTTTTTTTATTGTTTCCACCATGGGGTTGAATGTACTATTATTTTAATATAAAAAGAATTTAAAAGTTTATTGGGATGGTAAATGTATAGAATATCTTAGTACTCCTTCTATCCCAAAATAAGTGTCTGATAGAGAATATTCAAGATATGCAAATATCTTGTATATCTCCTCCCATTAGAATTATGTATATTTTAGGATAGCATCTTTTGTAATTATCCTAGTTAATACTTTCTGTATTTATCCTTCATTCTTTCCTATATATTTTGAGGGCAATACATGGACTCCTCAAGGACCCTTTACCAATTCCAACATGGTATCAAGAGCATAAAATCCTTTTGATCGTTTTTTTTTCTCCTACCTCATAGCTTCCGTTCTTCTTTCATGTTAGTCATCATGACTAATGATACAACCCTCAACACAGACCCCAACTCAGACCACCACTCTGAGCACAACTCTGTCAAATTTCATCCAGCCCTTCATGTTTCTAACATCAAGAATTTAATTCCGTGGCTCTTGCAAACAATCAATACAACTCCTGGAAAACACTCTTTCGTGTGACTGCCATGGCGTATAACGTCCCTTGCCCATATCGACGCCTCTGTTCCCAAAACCACGGCTATGGATACACCCTTATGGCATCAATTAGATGCGGTTGTGCTACAGTGTATATATGCCACAATCTCTGTTGATCTTCTCGTCACCATCTTAGATGAGAAATATAAGGCCTTGGATGCCTGGACTGCCCTCGTTTCTCTGTTCCAGGACAACCAAAGCACTCGTGCCCTTCATCTTGAGGACCAATTTTCCAGCACAGGATTGGAGAATTTTCCAAATACTGTGCTTTCTGCCACCAACTGAAATCCATCTCCGATCAACTGAAAAATGTAGGCGTTACAGTGACCGATGAGCGCCTGGTTCTTCATCTCATTGGTGGCCTCACTCGTGAATATGGCATGCTTGCTACGGTCATTCAACATTCGGTCCCTCTTCCATCATTCACCAAAGCACGCTCCATGCTCGCCTTGGAAGAATCCTGTCTTGCCCAACATGAACCTGTTGGGACCTCTACCGCCCTCGTTACATCTTCCAATATGCCCCCTGCTCCCATCCACAATAACATCCTCTCCCCCTCACATGCCCAACAGCCACCGCACTATAACAACCAGCAGCGAGGAGGGCGTGGCGACAAAAATCGAGGCCATGGTCGCGGTCGTGGCTATGGTGGACGTAACAATCAGCAACATCAACAACCTTTTGTGTGGCCTTTTGGTTGGGCGAGCAACTGGGCATTACCCCCTTGCCCATATGCAACCTACCCCTACAATGCAAGAGGCACTGCATCTCCAACCTCCCAAGGTATTCTCGGAGCTGCTCCTCGCCCTCCTCGTGTTAGCAACCCTAAAGCCTTTGTTGCACAATATGACAACTCCATGCAACCTACAAATTTTGCGGGATTTATGCAATCTATGACCTCTATGAAAATTGGTATATGGATATTGGCGCCACCTCTCATCTTCTTAATAATCCAAGTATTCTCCCATCTACTTATGATTGGCATCCTATCTCATCCTCTATTACTGTTGGCAATGGCTCTCATCTTCGTTTACCTTTTTCAAGCTCCTATAATGTAACCTTCTCCCCTTTTGATATTATTCATAGTGACTTGTGGACGTCACCGGTTGTAAGCGTTTTAGGTTATAGATACTACATTTTATTTCCTGATGACTTCATTCACTTTCTTTGGGTTTATCCTTTCCGGTCCAAGGATACCTTATATGATGTTTTCCTTCAATTTTGTACTCACATTAAAACCCAATTTGAGATAGAAATTAAAATATTTCAATGTGATAATGGGCGTGAGTTCGATAATTATCTTTTCACCAATTATTTTTGTTAAAATGGCATGGAGTTCCGTTTCTCTTGCCCATATACTTCCCCCAGAATGGCAAAGCTGAGAGAATGACCTGAACCATCAATAATGGTGTTGGGTCTAGATTAGCCCCACATTCGGACTCTCCTACATCATGCCTCCCTCCCTCCTAAGTTTTGGGTTGATGCCCTTCACATGATGACTTATATCACTAATATTCTCCCTCCCGCCTCCTTCATAATGCTTCTGCTACCCAAGTCCTTTACCGCAAAACACCCAACTACTCCCGCCTTCTAGTTGTTGGATGCTTATGTTACCCATATCTTTCTTCTACTATGCCGCACAAGCTCTATCCCTGCTCCTCTCCATGTGTATTTCTTAGGTACCCCTCAAATCATCGGGGGTACCATTGTCTAGATTTATCTAACAACAAAACTATTATATCTCGTCATGTGGTATTTGACGAAACTTCCTTCCCATTTCGCCAACAATTTCAATCTACCACCCATAGGTATGATTTCTTGGGAACTACAAACTTTCCTTCATCTCTTGCACACTACCTTAGTGCTCAACTTACTCAACCCACGACAGTCCCACAAGCCCCACATCCTTCCTTGCCAACAACTATTGCCCTTTGTTCTCGTACCATCTCGCCTATGACAACCCCCTCTTCTTTCCCCACCAATAGCTGCCGTCCCTTGTTCTCCTTCGGGCCAACCTATCCCTCTCCCTATTTCACGTGTCTCTGACACAATCCAACCTACCTCTCTGCCCCTATTGTACCTGTTTCCCCTCTTCCACATGAAGGCATGCACACCCAAAGTAAGAGCGATATATATAAGCCTAACACGAAATGTACCCGTCTTATAGCTATCTTGATGCTCCACAGAGCCAAGCTTCTTCTCAATTAAGCCCAATCAATTCTAGGCCTACTTCTTCGAAAGTCTATGTGAGATGGCCCAAGGCCCATAAAGGGAATTAGTAAATTGGAGATATTTTAATAAGGAGTTTTGGCTTGTGGTGGAGGCATGTAGAAAAATAACCGTCAGTTAGGCTCTAACTATCGCTTGGAGAAGGGAATTCTTCCCTGGGATCCTTCTGTGGATTAGAGTCTGTATCGTCTTCTTCCTCCGTATTGTACTCCTTCCTTTGTTTCTCAATTAATTCGAATTGCTTATGTAATCAGTTGATTACGTAACATTGGTCCGACCTGCCGGATCTATGGAGACACGTCTACAAGCTCGATTGGAAAATCATGATGAACGGATCCAACAGCTTCATTCAGATGTTCAGGGAATTAAATCGTCCTTCGAAACCATGAAGAAAGATCAAGAGGAACAGAAGGAATTCAGATCGGGTTTGTTGTCGGGTTTGTTTTCAGTTCTCGGACAAAGCACATAAATTTTCTACACTTGCTAGCTTTGTTGTCGGGTTTGTTGTGTCCTTTAAATCCACAATCAACTAGCAAGTCTTCCAGAATAAGAATTTCAAGAACACTCTCGTATCTCACACGTATATGATATACTAGCTAGAGAGTGTTGTATCTAGAGGAAGAATAGAAAACCGGGGTGTGTAAAAATGTTGGGGCCAAATGGTTATTTATAACCAAACAAAGAGTAGGGAGCAAGCTTAGAGTATGAGTAGTGAACAAGCTTGGTAARAGYAGGGAGCAAGCTTGGTAAGAGTATATAGCAARCTTGGTGGATGAGTAGTGAACAAGCTTCGTTTTTACTGATTTGTTYTTCGAGTGCAGCATCCATAAACACAAGTAATATATTTATATTACAACACTCCACCATGATGCACGAGATCCTCAAAAGCGAAACGAATCCCAATCCAACATATACGAGTTATTCCAATAGTTGATCATAACAAGTAGATAATAAGTAAATTGGCATGAGTTAGCAAATTGCATTCCAACCGTGACGAGCTTCGGCATGGCCATCACCCGTCAAAGTTACAAGCATACCAATAACCTTGAATGCACAATCTACTTACACGAGGTAGAGCAAAGCAAAGCTCTAAGGCACTTGACAAAGTAATTCCTTCAAAAGGTGTCGTTTTGTCACCTGTGGTAATATATCTCCTTTTTCTGCCAAAGTGCCCAACGGCACTAACACAAACGAAGCTGGATCAAGTTTGAGCAATGCTCAAACTTAGCTGGCGGTCATATCAGCGGCATTGTCGTCTGTCAGGACTTTCCTCAAATAGACAATTTTCGCTTCATGCAATCTCACGAGATATGCATTACGCACATTTATGTGCTTTGTCCGAGAACTGAAAGCCAAATTAGTTGCCAAATGGATGGCACTCTGATTATCACAGAAAATGCGCACGGAAGATTGCTTGAAGCCTAAGCCATTCATCAATTCTTTTAAATGGGCCGCTTCCTTTGCAGACTCAACCGCCGCAACGAGTTCGGCTTCCGTTGTTGACAATGCCACAATGGACTGTAAGCGTGATCTCCAACTGATGGCTGTTCCACCCAAGGTAAATACATAACCGGATGTGGATCTCCAACCTACTCGATCACTTGCATAGTCAGAATCACATAATCCAACAATTTCACAGTCATTGTGTAAACCAAATATAAGACCATGTGTCTCGGTTCCCTTCAAGTATCGAAATGCCGTTTTAACAGCTACCCAATGTGATAAACCCGGATTCGCAAGAAACCGACTCACCACTCCGACACAATGTGCGAGATCGGGACGAGTACACACCATGGCRTACATGAGACTCCCGACTGCACTAGCATATGGAACCTTTGACATTTCAGCCTTTTCCTTGTCATCCTTYGGACAATCTTCACTTGTAATCTTGATGTGCTTCGGTAGCGGAGTGCTAGACATCTTGGCACCATCAAGATTGAACCGCTTCAATATCTTTTGGATATAAGCTTGTTGTGTTAATCTAAGAGTTTGAGACTTTTTGTCCCGAATAATTTCCATGCCCAAAATCTTTTGCGC